CTCAAAGAGTTAGTGCTGGGTAATGTTGATTAGCTCAAAGAGTTAGTGCTGGGTAATGTTGATTAGCTCAAAGAGATTTTTAAAGTGGCGAACTTTGAGATCTTCGTTTTCACCTTATATTGGTTGACCTTGGTCTATGTCAGTTATTTTTAGTCTGTTATCGGACGGAGCGCGGCCTGGTGGTATAATGTGTCAGGCTGCCGTTCGAAAGGTTCGAAATGTGTTGCCTTTAAATATGCTTCACATTTCCAATTATGGGAAAATCCAGTTATTAAAGAGCCGGACAGAATCCTTGTGGTGACTTGTGGTTCTGAATGGTTGCATTTCCTCTGGCCATTAGTTCAAAATTAGGAACGGCTATTAATGAATCCCAGGTTCTCTGAATTGGGTCACGTAAGTCTAAGGTATAGTTCAGGCTGAAAATTCCTATTTTGTTTATTATCAATTGAACATTATGACTCTTATACCTTTTCATGACTGATAACTGGGAATTGTATCTCTTATATCCGTATATTATTGATAACTAAATATTGACACTTATACCTTCACATTACTGACAACTGAGCATTGTGTCTCTTTTATCTTCTCAATACTAGTGGTACAGTGGTATGTCTGCGGACTTACAACGCTAGAAACCGGGTTTCGATACCCGTGGTGGGCAGAGCACAGATAGCCTATTGTGTAGACTTATGCTTGACTTCAAACAAACAAAAGAAACTCATTACTAATAACTCAATATTTTCACTTATACCTTCACATTACTAATAGCTGAATATTTTCACTTATACCTTCACATTACTAATAGCTGAATATTTTCACTTATACCTTCACATTACTAATAGCTGAATATTTTCACTTATACCTTCACATTACTAATAACTCAATATTTTCACTTATACCTTCACATTACTAATAACTGAATATTTTCACTTATACCTTCACATTACTAATAGCTGAATATTTTCACTTATACCTTCACATTACTAATAGCTGAATATTTTCACTTATACCTTCACATTACTAATAGCTGAATATTTTCACTTATACCTTCACATTACTAATAACTGAATATTTTCACTTATACCTTCACATTACTAATAGCTGAATATTTTCACTTATACCTTCACATTACTAATAGCTGAATATTTTCACTTATACCTTCACATTACTAATAGCTGAATATTTTAACTTATACTTTCACATTTCTAATACCTAAACATTGAATACCTTCACATTACTTATAACTGAATATTTTAACTTATACCTTCACATTACTAATAATTGAGCATTATGTTTTCTTTATCTTCACACTTTGTTGTATATTGTTTTAAAGGAAGGATGAACAGCAAAAGCTAACAGGTAGTAGCATTTTTTAAACAATCAATGGCTATGCTACAATTAAAATTCTAATTAATGATATAGGTAATTTTTTAAACAATCACTGGCTATGTTACAATTAAGATCTAATTAATGATATAGGTAATTTTATAAACAATCATTGGCTATTTTACAATTAAGATCTAATTAATGATATAGGTAATTTTTTAAACAATCACTGGCTATGTTACAATTAAGATCTAATTAATGATATAGGTAATTTTTTAAACAGTCACTGGCTATGTTACAATTAAGATCTAATTAATGATATAGGTTTGAGGCTTTTAAGAGTTTGAAATCCCATTTAAGGATCTAATTTTAATACTTATTTTATTTCAGTTAAAAATTATACGGGAATTTAAAAAATATATATATTATACTGTATACAGAACCATTTCGTAAAGCAATTATTTTCATTCTTTTGTCATTTGCTCGAAAAGAAAAAAGAAAAAACCTAATATAATTTATCGTGACGTTTATTCAATGGTTTTGAAATAAATTCAACTATCTTGATATTCAAAGAAATAATTTTGCTACTTTTGACTCACCGGTGTATGAGAGGGAATGTTTAATGTCTATATATATCAAAGTATTATAATACCTTTTGTTAAAAGTTTAAATTTATCATGAATGTTTACTGCTTTGTAATTTCGTTTCTTTCCGCGTTTTAAACCAAACTTCAGCGTATATGACTTGGGTTGTAATGTAAGTTAACTTCTACTTTCTCATAAGAATGCCTTTTCACTTCTTCCTAATGAGTGTTTCCTCTATATCCCCGTCCCACCAAACGTGTTTGCCCTTTCAGCCGTGGGGGCGTTACAATGAGACGGTCAATCCCACTATTCGTTGATAAAAGAGTAGCCCAAAAGTTGGCGGTGGGTGGTGATGACTAGCTGC